CAGAATAAAATAGGATTTTCAATCTGCTAACTTATTAAATGATTCAATCCATTGATCACTTGAAAATGGTGATTAAGGCTGATCAAACACTATCTTTGCAAGCTATGCGTATTTACTCCCTAGCTCATCATATTTACTCTCTAAACCTTCTAGGCGTCCTTTTAGTGATTCATTTTCTTTTTCAGTAGTATTCAACTTTTTCAACAATGCAGTTTTAGAGGAGTTACCACCTTTCAACTCCTTAGCGGTTATCCCACCACCAAATCCAACTACATGACTCTTTCGTTGAGGTCCGAATCACCTTTCTACAACCTCAATATTTGCAAGAGACGATTCAGATTGCACCAATTCTTTGATTTTATCCTGTAAAATAAAAAGTAATTTAATTAAAATAATACAACACAATAAATAAATAATATAAATTAAAATTTATCAATAAACATACATATCTCATTGGTTTCATGTTCGACAAGCTTGTTGTTCTTCTTACGAGTCTAAAAATAAATAGTTGCCACATCTAGTGGATTACCATCTTTACCTCCCTTCACATTTAAATAAACAAGTCAAAGAAATCTTTGTAACAAAGATGAGGTTTCTTAATAGAATATAATTATAAGATTTACTCACCAATTCATAAATGATCTCCCTAATTGGCTTACTATCCGTACGATGAGGCATACTCAACTTAGACCTATTGATCGAGTTTCTTGTACTTGTCTCCTAAATTAACAATATACCGGCAAAATTCTGGTTAGCCACTTAATATAACACGATGTTAATAAATAGCTAAAATCATACCTTAAATATTTCAGTAAAAAAATGCTCCTTGACCAGCCATTCCCAATCACTCTTGTCTACCCCATTTGGCACATCTTTTATAGCATAACGGAATGGCTTAGACTTAATATTCATGTGCATCGATCCTCTGCAATTATTCCATAACTTTCTCATATGTTTAAAGACATGATCTCGTTGATCATTTATGTCATCACTATCAGTTTTGTCCTACAATATTTCACAAGTATCATTAAATATGAAACAACAAATAACGCTGCTGTTGTTACACATGGTGCATCAGAAAGAAGCAACGGAAAAAGCTAAACATCACGGTAAACTACCATATCTACTGCAGCTGCATTTGTCCCTTTGTAAGTGTAAATTTGCACACTTAATATCCCTCTAATAAATAGGAATAGGAAATGAAAAATAGACTTGCAAGTTATCACATTAGATTCGCAAACTTAATATCCCTCTAATAAATCAGAAATGAAAATAGATTTGCAAGTTATTCCCACAAATGCTCCATATAAAAAGAGAAGCCCCCGTCTCCATATGAAAACGCCTATCGGAAGGGATAAGGAAAAGCTTCTGAAGGTTCTTTTTCTTCATCGCGTTGATCCTTGTTTGAAAGTATTTGATTGACAAAGTCAAATAGTTAACGATGGACAAGCACCTTCATACAAGACCTAGTGTTAAACTGAATATCATTGAGATATGCTGCTGATTTTTGTTTCTTTTTAGGGAGGCATTATAGACGATTTTCTCTCACACCTAATGTGTTGTTGCTGTGCCCTTGTCCAAGAGTTGCGTGAAGTGGAGATACGTGGGGCTCATGGTATGTTTTACTGGAATCCTCTACTCACATTTCCTTCTGTTAATGCCTTCAACTAGGGTGGATCTATTTTTCTGTGTTAACAAGATCCAAACTGGAAATCTTAACACTATGTGTTGCACTAAGCTCACTCTTTATAGGTTCACGAATGATGCAAAGCTATATTATGCAGGTACAGGGAAGATGAAAACAAGTCCCCCACCTTCTCAATTTATGGAATCCTAGGAAATTACGATTGGCGTTTTAGGGCTAATATTTTAATAGAATTATGCAGAGTTAATGACTGATTAACTTGTCACTACTGGATTCATGCAACATGACAGTTTCTGCCTGAGTTTCTACCATTCTGTAAAGTAATTCTTAGTAATCTAGATTCAGCTTGTACATAATATATTCTATAGTTTTGTCCATTACTTAAACTGTGGTTGACAAATCAGGGACTATCTCTAAGATTGTATTAACAAGTAGAAATGGAGAAGGCAAATCAAGAAAGTAATGCTTTAAATCTTTACCGTAATAGCTTCCCACATGTGTTGTATCTTATATTCTTTGATGTCTGCCCATGAGTGTACACACAATGGGTACATATTACGATCACAGACCAATATACCTAAGTGTCTCGTAAATGAGACATGATGTTGCCCAACAACCCTATTGTGGTAGAAAGTGACGCGCAACTTTTCTCCAACTTTGAGTCCTGTAATTTTTTTACACCTATTCGTTCCTCTCACTTTTTTTACCTTTTCAGATTCACATGGCCCTGCAAATTCCAATTTAACTCAAATATAAAAATAGATCTTGTACAATAACAACCAAAAACTCTTACAACTTGAGATAATAAAATACTTATTTCACTTCTCTAAGTGCCGTACATCTCTTCTTCTTCATGAGGAAAAAGAGTATCACCTTCAAATATTTGATCAAAACCAGAAGGCGCAATATTTTCTCCAACTTTGAGTCCCGTAACTTTTTTACACCTATTCATTCCTCTCACTTTTTTTACCTTTTCAGATTCACATGGCCCTGCAAATTCCAATTTAACTCAAATATAAAAATAGATCTTGTACAATAACAACCAAAAACTCTTACAACTTGAGATAATAAAATACTTATTTCACTTCTCTAAGTGCCGTACATCTCTTCTTCTTCATGAGGAAAAAGAGTATCACCTTCAAATATTTGATCAAAACCAGAAGGCGCAATATTTTCTCCAACTTTGAGTCCCGTAACTTTTTTACACCTATTCATTCCTCTCAGTTTTTTTACCTTTTCAGATTCACATGGCCCTGCAAATTTTAATTTAACTCAAATATAAAAATAGATCTTGTACAATAACAACAAAAAACTCTTATAGCTTGAGATAATAAAATACTTATTTCACTTCTCTGAGTGTCGTGCATCTCTTCTTCTTCATGAGGAAAAAGAGTTTCACCTTCAAATATTTGATCAAAACCAGGAGGCGCAACATTTTCTCCAACTTTGAGTCCTGCAACTTTTTTACACCTATTCATTCCTCTCAGCTTTTTTACCTTTTCAGATTCACATGGCCCTGCAAATTCTAATTTAACTCAAATATAAAAATAGATCTTGTACAATAACAACAAAAAAATCTTATAGCTTGAGATAATAAAATACATATGTCACTTTTCTGAGTACCCTGCATCTCTTCTTCTTCATGAGGAAAAAGATCAGTATCACTTTCAAATATTTGATCAAAACCAGGAGGCGCAACATTTTCTCTAACTTTGAGTCCTGCAATATTTTTACACCAATTCGTTCCTCTCAGTTTTTTTTACCTTTTCATATTCATATAGCCGTGCAAATTCCAATTTAAGTCAAATATAAAAATAGTTCTTATACAATAACAACAAAAAAATCTTACAGCTTGAGATAATAAAATACTTATTTCATGACTTCGTTGAGTGCCCTGCATCTCTTCTTTTTCATGGGGAAAAAGAGTATCACCTTCAAATGTTTGATCAAAACTAGGAGGCGCAAAATTTATCCAACTTTGAGTCATGCAATATTTTTATACCAATTCGTTCCTCTCCGTTTTTTACCTTTTCAGATTAACAAAGCCCTGGAAATTCCAATTTAAGTCAAATATAATAATAGTTCTTATATAATAACAACAAATTTTTTTTATAGCTTGAGATAATAAAATACTTATTTTACTTCTCTGAGTGCCCTGCATCTCTTCTTCTTCATGAGGAAAAAGAGTATCACCTTCAAATGTTTGATAAAAACCAGGAGGCGCAACATTTTCTCCAACTTTGAGTCCTACAATATTTTTACACCAATTCGTTCCTCTCAGTTTTTTTACCTTTTCAGATTCACATGGCCCTGCAAATTTTAATTTAACTCAAATATAAAAATAGATCTTGTACAATAACAACAAAAAACTCTTATAGCTTGAGATAATAAAATACTTATTTCACTTCTCTGAGTGTCGTGCATCTCTTCTTCTTCATGAGGAAAAAGAGTTTCACCTTCAAATATTTGATCAAAACCAAGAGGTGCAAGACTATCATTATGAGTTAGGTTATTAAGATCAGAAGCTAATACATTAAAAGCTTTACTTTTTCCAATCAAACCTCGTTGCTCAGCATTTACTCTTACAGAACCCAATGCTCTGAAGCTCTATTCTCGCCCCCTTGCTAAGGTACCAGATGGAACGTACACATGCTTAATAGTCTTCAAACTTGATTCTATTTTAGACTTCTGATATTTTGATGGATTCATGTCAACCTAGACCAAAACAATTGAGTAACAGATGTCTATAATATCAGTATTATCATATATGAACGTATGAAGGTCTTTAAAAGAATCTAGGAAGTTACATGGCCATAGACAATAGTAATAAAGATAATTTACAAAAATATGATGCAGAGAAACTTGGAGATAAACAAATATTTAGCAAGTCAGATTCATCATATAAGAACATATAATCAGTTAAGAGAAAATCCATTGGTATAGTTTTAGAATCTTTTTCTGAACTTGTAAATCAAATGGAATCTAGTACGAAGCTTCCCTCATCACAAGTGAGTTGCCTAATTAAATAAAGGAGTTGATAAATATCCAAACCTTCATGAGTTCTTTTCCTTTTCAGTTGTGAAGAATGATCTAACTCCTCTAAATCATCAATATTTTCTTGCAAAACCTCAAAAGTATCACGAGGTTGAACTTTTCGTACAACATGCCAACCTTTATTGGAAAGATCGTCAACGTAAAAAACTTATGATGCTTGGTTGGCTAATACAAAAGGCTCAGTTGTTTTCAGAAATCGCTGGCAGTTAACACGCCATATTCATCTATTTTAACTCCCTTTTCTTGGCCATACACATCACCACGTACATCGAAATATAACTATTCTTCCTCCACCAATAAATTATAATTTTAGTATATCTGTTAGTTCTCCATAGTAATCAATGTTCTTATTCTCTTCATCTGTCTCTACAACTACAACCACCCTACAGTTCTGAGTTCCCAAACCTTTATCATAATCTTGCACCTGAAACCTATATCCATTAATAAGGTACCCGCGATGACTTGTCACATATGTCATGGGACCACGTGACAATGAGAGCAAATCTGCAATTTTTTTTTTACTATCATTGCATTTGTGTAATCCTTCAACCTATCAAGATCAAGCACATAGTTTAGCAAATAATATTTATATACTTGGTTTGAAAAATATTAATGTTAACTAGTACTCACCTTTTCTTTTAACCAACCAATGAATTGCCTGTCAAAATTTTCTTGAGAGGTATCAACTGGAGTTAGTGAAAACTCTCTACAAATAATTAAAGCATAATAACATGTCATTTTAATAAAAACATAGAGAAGGTACATAAAAGTAAATTATTGAAACAAGTCATTACTTACACGGGAAATGGTTGAATTTCATCACAATTCTTCAAAATATAAATATGTGCTTGCTCCAGTTCATTTGAATCAAGTTTGTGTGGTTTGCCACCTCTTAAAGCTCTTCCGGGTTGACAAAAAATTGTTAAACCTCCATCAGATTCTATAATACCACCATCATAATTTCGTTCAAGGCGATTAAACTTTGTTTCCATTGTATGTATATACCTTGAACATAAGGTCATACATTCAGTTGCTAAATATCCCTCTGCAATAGAACCTTCTGCGCAAGCCCTATTACGAATAAATGGTTTCATAAAGTATATATATCGGTCCATTGGATACATCCATCGATATTGAGAAGGTCCAGTAATCTTAGCTTCATTAGCTAAATGAATTGGCAAGTGCTCCATGACATCAAAATTGTAGGAGGGAAGACTTTTTCTAGCTTGCACTCAGTTATTGGGATTTGGGCATTTATCTGCTCTAATTCATCCACACTTAAATATTTCGATCCAAGCACGTTGAAAAAAACAACAACTCAATAAGCGGTTCACACACAAATTTGTATAGCATGCCCCACAGAGCAAGTGGAAGTGAATGTTGCAGAAGAACATGGCAATCATGACTTTTTAAACCTGAAAGTTTTGCGATCTTTAAGGTTGACACACTAGGAAATATTTGATGAAAATCCATCTGAGACCTTTAAGTTCTTCAAGAAACTGAAAAACCTGTACTTCTTTTCAGGAGATAATGTATAACATGCCGTTGGTAAGTCATATTTAACCCCAATTTTTATTGGATGCAATTCTTTCCTAATGCTCATTGCTTGCAAATCCAACCGAGTGTTTATGGTGTCTTTAGTTTTTTCTTTGATATTTAATATTGTCCCCAAAATATTATCACATATATTTTTCTCAATGCGCATTACATCTAAGTTATGCCGCAATAAAAGAGTTTTTCAATATGGGAGATCAAAGAAAATACTCTTCTTATTCCAATTATTACCCCTACTCTCATGTGATATTTTAATCTTCTTCTTTGGATCCTTTATTAGTTGTAACCCATCTAAATCAGCCACTTGATCAAGTATATCATCACCAGACAACTGTTTTGGTGGTAATCTTCGCTCCTTAGGGCCATCAAATGATGCTTTATCATTCTTCCATATGTGATTAAGAGGAAGAAATCGTCTATGGCCCATATAGCACTATTTTTTATTTATTTATAATTTTGTAACCTAATTGAGTGAATTTCTTTATTGCAGCATGGGCACGCTAGTTTTCCCTTTGTAATCCATCCAGACAAATTTGCACAGGCAGGAAAGTCATTAATGGTCCATAATAAAGATGCATGTAACACAAAGTTTTGTTTAGTTGACGCATCAAAGGTCTCCACTCTAGATTCCCACAATTCCTTTAATTTCTCTATCAAAGGCTGGAGATAAACATCAATAGCATCTCCAGGACTCTCAGGACCAGGAATAATCATCGACAAAATAAAAAAAAAATTCTACATGCATAGCCAAAGTGGTAAATTATAAGGAATAAGTACCACAAGCAAATGCTATATAGAGTTTTGGAATTCCAAATGGTTGAAAACCATCGCTAGCAAGTCCAAGTCGAATACTACATGGCTCAGATGCAAAAGATTAATGAAGTTCATCAAACGTTTTCCACGCTATTGAATCAGCTGGGTGCCTCAGTATTTCATCATCAACTCTTTTGTCATGGTGCCATCTCATGAGAGAAGATATTTTCGAGGACATAAATAATCTTTGAAGTCTTGGCTTTAGAGGAAAATAACGTAAAATCTTTTGTGGTATCTTTTTCTCATTTTTAAATTTGGTTTCCCCACTACGTTTATCCTCCTTCCATCTAGATGCACCACAAACTTTACAAGACTCAAGAGACTTATCATCCTTCCAGTATAACATACAAGCATTCTTACATGCATCAATCTTCTTGTGAGAAAGCCCTAGGTGCCGAATTACCTTCTTTGCTTCGTAATATGAATCTGGAAAGTTTGATCCATCCGGCAATAAATCTTCCTTCAAGAGCTTCAACAACATTGTAATTGACGCATTACTCGATCCAATTACCAATACTTTTGATATGAAGCAACTTTACCAAAGTAGAAAGTTTAGAAACTTTTGAATCTTGGTACAATGGTTGCTCAAAATCTTTTAAGATCCTATAGAATATTTTTGCTTCAATATTTGGTTCCTCCTCAAACTGCCCATCACCATCATTGTTCATATTGTCTTCTTCAAAAGTGGGATATAAATCTCTTAAAATTTTATGTATTTCATCCTCACCATCACCCTCTTCATTGATATTATCATCTACAAATTCATAATCTGAAGAAGACTCACCTAATCTCTCCCCATGGTAATACCAAAGGGTATCATTTTGGACTATTTCGTGTACTATTAAATGTGACCTAAACAACTCATGTGTTCCTGAAATTGCATTACAGCATTTGACGCATGGACAACGTATTTTGCGTGTTTCTCCCAATCCCCCACCCCAAGTATGTAAGCGTTATCAAGTCGATCATGAATAAGTTCCATCCATTGCTTATCAGGTGCCATAATGTGGTGCATACACAAAATTAATATACATATATAGTTAACCAAAAAATATTAGAATAGAATATTAGTATAGCAATGAACAAGAAATGAACATAAGAGAATAAAAACATATTAGTCATCTTTACTAAGGAATATTAGTCAATCTGCGTTCGAAGATTATTTTTATAATCCGTTTGAATAATTTCTCACATCCACCATTTCACTGGCCTATAGCCCAAGTAACAGCCTTAAGTTTTACAATAAAAGATGAATAAATATGTTAAATTTTTAGTACTTTTGAAAATTGAGAATATATTTTTGTAACGATTTTATAAATAAGCTACAAATCATAGAAACTAAAAACAAATTTACTCTATATTGATGCTCTTATAGTGTGGTTGTTGATTAAGAAAATAGTGTAATTTCAGGAAACAAAATAACCAATCAAGTAAAAGAATGTTAAAATTTTTTAAGTGAACAACTAAAAATTCAGGTAGAGAAACTGAAAACTTCATTGCAGAAAAAAATGACTATGAAAAAGGGGTCATGTCTAGTAATGTTTTGTAAGTCAATTTATGGATCTCCATGTGATCAATTTATTAGTGTGCCGATTAGTAGATGTAGTGGTTTGTATCCTTGTGTAATGAAAAGCCCACAGAGAAGGACTGCTGTACGAGGATAGAGGAATGAGCAGATCATCGAATGGAAAATGTCATCTATACAGATATAGACTGGCAAGGTGACTTTCTAATAAGCACCCAGCTCTAGATACTGTGGTTTGATAGGAAGAAATTCAATGTCCTGAAAGAGCATGATACAATATGTGGTTGCAAGTCAAAGCAAATATAGGGCCAGTACGATTAACCTGATGAACTCATAAGGATGAAATACCTATTCCGAGAATTGAAGTTTGTGCAGATTAATCAGACAGCTATGTACAATAATCAAACTGCAATTCATATTGCATCTAATCTAGTATTTTTCAAGAGAACCAAGCGTATAGAAATGAAAGTCGTTTTATCATAGAGACACAATCACCAAGTCAGCAAAGTCAGAGGACTAACTTGCTTACGTACTAAGTTCCTTGCTAATCCATGTACTATATATGTAGGTTGAAACAAACTTTGGTACATACGACATATATACACACACCCCTTGAGGGGGAAGATAGCTAGACTTAAACCAAGTTAAATACGTACAGAAGTAACAGTGCACATACTAGTGTCTCACATCGGATAAATGTAATATACACATTGTAAAGTATGCCTATAAAAGACTCCATCATACGACATTCATCTTTACGCATTCTCCCAATCTTTTCTCCTTTTTTGTCTTCTCATATACCTCCTCACCCCTTCTAAATCAATCCCGAATGAGTATGACACTTTGGTACAATGCATAGTAGCTAAAATCAGTGCATCGATGTTTCTCTGGTCACTCATCATATAGTTTTCTACCAAAAGAGGGCAGTGCATCCACCCTCTTCTCTAGATTACTTCTAGTTGAAACACAATATTACTCCCCTTTTCCTGTCCATTTTGGTTTAACATATTGATTCATCTTATTGTCCAATCAGTGATCATGGCCTTGTAATATTCCATATTCCATTTAGATGAAATACTAATGTTTCTCCACTCTAGAGTAGTAACCTCAATCACTCACCTCACCCTACGTCCAAAGTCTAGGAACATGAGCAATCATTGGTACCTTGTGCAAAACAAGCAACCTTACTAAGAAAGGTGCTTGTTGAGTAAGAACGGCTTTCGAGCCCAAGATCTTTGTATAGATTGGGAGCTTGAGCCCATCTTTCTCTTATCAATCAAGGCTGTAACAACCCACGGACCGCTGGCAGTAAGCTGGAAAGTATGTTCATTGTGAAACTTGCCTTGGGCAAATCCCACATTGGAATGGGCAAACATCTAAAGGTGAGACAATTAATAAGTATGGGGTCTGGTCAGCATCAGTGCTGCAAACTAATACTACAGCTTATAGAAGGAATTTGCAACCCATGTTTTTATTGACGTGCAAGCTGGAAAAAAGGCATACATACTAATGTGGTTGCCACTGATGATCTTTAAAAAAGAAATGTGCATCAGTTAGCACATAAGAAAGAGCAAGGAACTGGGCAGATGATAGATACGACAGGCCAACCTGTTGTGGCTCATGAATATGCAGAAAATTCAGCTAGGCATGTTCGTGCAGCAGATGACGCTACTGCTGGTGCAACTGAGGTAAAGGAACTAAAGCAGGTCACGACTGCAACTGGTACTCAACAGTTGTGGCTCATACTGCTGGTGTAAACAATGGAAGTGAACCTGGTGCAAGACTTGGAATTCCCAGTAGTGAATCTAAAATTGCTGGGAATGTTGATGGGCCAAAGAAGATAGGTATAACAGTAAAGAATATAGCTGGAGAGGACTGGACAGTTGTTGCTCGATCACCTGCTAATCAGCAGCAAACAGTGACACATCGATCATCTAAAAATAGGAGATCTCCAGGTATGAAAGTCCAGGTCATAACATCAAAGAATATCGAGTTTTCTAACTTGTTTGATGCATTGCTCAATGATCATGATCATGTGATGAATGAGGAGAGAAAGAATGTGCAGAAAGTACTTTGTGATACAAGTTCAAAAACTGGACAAGCCACCTCTGCAGTAAGTGAAAAACAGCAGCAGTCCTCACCGTAGAATCAGTCAATATATAGATAGAAATAGTTTTTGTATTTTGTGTCATTCTTTCACCAAAGTGAACACCAACATCAATATACATACAAGTGTGATCACAACCGCTAAAAATTATCAACTTTGATTTTAGGAGGACCGATATTTCTACGGTTATACTTGGCACTCAGTAAAACTGATAGCACGAAATTGACATTCAGAATAAACTGTTAGAGAAGATGATTTAATCATAGCAGGAGATATAGCAGTTGCTCATTAAAAACTGATATCACTCAATAGATGGGGAGTCAAATCATAATCTATGCTATGGTCTCTTTCATCCCTGCTCCTAGTTCAGATGCATTTTCTAGCGAAATTATTACTCAATTCACATAGAAAAGGGTAAAATTTTGAACCTTACATTGATGAGAAGAAACTTGAGGACGAGCAGTTGTTGTCAATGGAGGTGACGTGCAGCTTCGTTCGCTAATTCGCTGAATTTGACGAGTAGAGCAGTTTCTCTAATTATTTGAATTCGTCGTAGCAGTTCTCTGCTAATTCGTTCAAAACAGAGGTTTACGATGGAACTGTTAAAGAAGTCGACGTCTTCGGGATT